GAAGGAAAGGAGGATACAATGTATTTAAACATTTTTGGTGGATAGAATGTACCAAGCAGAACCGAATTGGGTATTTGTTATGTTGAATGTTAATTTTACTAACTTAGGGGGAGGATAGAAAGGCATCATACTCTGATTAGTGATTTCAGGAGAAATTCTTTTTATTATAAGAAGAGATAGAGGGATAATGAATGGGCAAAAGATATAAATTTAATGATTTAATTAAGATGGATTAAATAAGATAGAATTGTGAAGAGTGATATGCGCTGCCCATGCAAAGAGAGGAAACTGGGGCCAAGGTACTTTACTAAAAGATTTTTTTATGTTTGTTTGTGTTTGTTTGTGTTTTATGAGAATATTGGGGAAATTTTTGTAGAAAGACAGGAAAAGATTTAAATATGTAATGATTTGTTTGTTGTTGAAATTTCTAATAAAACTTGTTTTAAAAAAAAATAATATTTGGGGACTTGGACTTCCGGTTTGCAAGGTTTCGGCGGCGGCAGGGATTCGCGACACCGCGCGATCCCTGCTGCGTTCGCCGCCAAGGTTCCCTCGATCCGTTTGGATCTGGGGGATATAGCTGCCCCATAGAGGCAGCTGAAGACAGGGGGGAGCCGGAAAGGGGTTTGGGGGCATCGCAGACCCCCTCCCCAGCCGGCAAAAAACCCCTTTTCCCGAGGCTGAGGAACGGCGGTCAGCAATGGCCGCCACGAAGAAATCTGCAGCCGGACAAGCAGGTGCAGGAGGGAGAAAGTTTGAAGAATTGTGAAAGTTGCTTTCAACCGGGACAAGACAAAAGAAAGGGACCTGGAACCTTGAAGGCTGCTAAGTATATATTGTTTCCAGTGAGAGTAACAAGCTGCAAATATTCTAAAAGGGAAAGTGTTGTTTTTTTGTTCCACTCTCCTTCCTAACGTGATAGCGGATGGAAAAAACTCTTCTGGCTGTGAGTGGGAAGGGAGAGGGGGGGAAAAATTGGAGCAAAATTTGAAAATAAGGAGAAGATTGCCTAGAACTTTAAAGAGTTACTAAACATCAATAAGACTTCTAAAAAATATATTTGAAAGAGAACTTTGTGATTAAACTTTAACTCCAGAAAGAGAAAGTGAAGAAGAAGAAGGTATTTAAAAGAAACAGCCTGTTTGGATTGTTTGGTGATTTTGGAACTTTTGAGAATTATTTTTGATTAAAAACATCTGGGTGGTTGTTTGGAAAAACTTTTTCTCTACACAATGGCATCATTTGTGGATGGACTGAAACTTGCATATCAAAAATATGAAAGAGAAAAGCAAGAAGGGAAAGATGTTTTTGGCACTCTTTTTCAATTTTTAGAAATGGCGGTTTATACTTATGTGAAGCAGAATGAGCAACAGGATGATGGGGACAAAGAAGAAGCCATCTTTGATGAACAAATAACCTTGGTTGGAGAAGGGAAAAAGAAAAAGGAAAAGGAAAAGAAGACTTTAAGATCTGGAAAAACAACCCCAAAAGAGAAGAATAAGGTGAAAAAGGGACATTATGTTAGGAGACAACAGAAAGAGGGAAAACAGAAGAAAAGGGAGGTGGAGAGACAAGGGGTTAAAGAGGACAAAGAGAAGAAGAAGCAAGGGAGAAAGGAAGGGATGAGAAGCCTTAATGGTGGGGAGCAAGATGTGAAGAAGCAAAAGTTTTTTCGAGATAATGGATAAATCTTATTGAAATTGGGATTCTAGAAAGGTACATAAGATTGCATTTTTATATTTTTATTTAGAAATAACCATAGAAAATTGGAAATAATATGTAATTTAAAATGTGATAAAATATTTAATATAAACTAGTGAAATTTTTGTTAAGAAAAAGGGAGAACTGTAATGAAATATGATTTAAGACATGTGATGTGGGGGGGGGGGGGGGGTAATAATTTTTGGAAAGCATAAGTGTTCCCACAAAGGCATGATATTTAATTGAAATGGATAAAATGTTTAAGATATAAATGATTGTTAATATTAATGATTAGATTATGGTATATTAGCGAAATTTTTTGTGAAATGAGATTTGAAGTAGAAGAAGGAGGAACATCGTAATGAAATAAAGAGCTATAATATGTGAGGTGGGGGGGGAATAATTATGGAAAATAGGTGCTCCCATAAAAGTATGTGATTTAACTGAAAAGTAATGTGTTAGATGTTTAAGATATAAATGAATATCAATATTAATGAATAGATTTGTATTATTTTTGATAATATAGTATAATTTTAGAATGTACCAGACAGAATCCCAATGTAAGTTATGTGTTTTATATTAAGTATTATAAATATAGGGGAAGGAGATAAAGGCATCATACTCCATTTAGTGTACAGGAGAAGTTTTTCTTCTTTTTTAAAGAAGAAAAATAAATGGATGGTTGGAAATAGAACAGACAAAGAATAATAAATATTATGATTCGAATTGAGAGGAGATAAATAAAATAAAATTGAGAAAATTTAAAAGTGAGGAGAAGTTATATAGAAAATTGAAAATGTTAATAAGATATGAAATGGTATGTAAAATGAATATGAATTTGAATTTGTGTCTGTGCCAAGAGTTATAACCCGGGACTAAGCAACTTTCAGAAAAGAGATTTTTTATGTTTTTATGTTTTGTGTTTTTGTGTATCTTTGTTTTGTATGTCTTTAAAAATTAATAAAATTTGGTTTAAAAAAAAAATATTTGGGGACTTGAAGTTTATTTATCTATGCCTCTCCTTACTTCTTGACCAAAGATAGACTACATCCAATGAACTTCAACACCACCTGGGCACCCAAGATTAGAAATATTACCTAAATTGGATACAGGGATCACCAATGTCTCAACAAAGCTTTCATCCCACACAATAAAAGACAGTGCCACTTTCAAACATCTTCCCACAATCTCATCATAGTTCTCACTCCCAGTTACCTGCTCTGGATCCAGCGGGGCAAACTCTTCTCCCAAGGCTGCAGAAGTAAACTTTAGGGCATTCCACACCTTGTTACAGAAATGGGAGGCTTTTTCCATGGCTGCCATATCTAGATTAATACTGGTTCCTGTTAGGATATAAATTAAAAAGAGTCTGAATTTTCGAGCACACTGATGATAGACATTGTCAATAATTTATACAACCAGTAGTTGTATTATGTCATAAAGTCCGCACTAACTACATGGTGCCTATTGATTCCTCCCATATCTCTCCTGACAACCCAGATTTCCTAATTCTTCTGACTTTTTCCATATCTCTTTTAAATCTAAATAAATAAACAGGATGTTCTTTGTTGCAAGAAAATCAGCTTGGTATAATAGTTAAAGCAGTGCTTCACAGCCTTGGAAATTTTAAGATATATGGACTTTTTCTGCCAGGGAGGGAGGGAGGGAGGGAGGGAGGGAGGGAGGGAAGGAAGGAAGGAAGGAAGGAAGGAAGGAAGGAAGGAAGGAAGGAAGGAAGGAAGGAAGGAAGGAAGGAAGGAAGGAAGGAAGGAAGG